AAAAGGGAGGGGAGTTGCCATTTCGGAAGTGGAGCGTCCAGGACACAGCACTGCTTGATCTCCAGATACGGGAGAGAAAGAGCCCATGGGCGAGTATGCCTTTGTAAGTGACTCTCTCCTGAATAGCATAAGCTTTGTTAGCAAGCCCAAATAAATATTCTTATTCCTCAAACTGTAACTTAAGAGGGACATTGTGATGGTTTAGTTGGTCGGTGTTAGAACTTCGCTCTTTCCAGAGAGTGCGCATAGGTCTCTCAGGGGGAAATTTGGTGTAACAAAGGTGAAACCCTGAAGCTTCTCTCTGACCTACACACACACACACACACACACACACACACACACGCTCTCCAGAAATGAGAAGTTCAATGTATGAAATTTCAGGTCATTTGATATCAGAGCAGAGAAGTCTTTTTGCCTCTGAGCGTTACCTGTTTATCACTGTATTAAAGAGAATGATATTGAAATAATGAATTAGAGAAAATTCAATTAAAACTAATAATTAAACTTTTTTTCTGCTTAAGGATTGAGTCACTATTATTGGAGAAAAAAGAACCAAAGCTTGCTGCAAACATTCATTCAGTGTGATTGTCAGTTGGCGTGGATTTTACACGATTCTGAGAAGCACTGCTTAAGAGAACCACTGGACCTCAGGGGCAATATATACTCGGAAGCTTCATTATAAAAATTGGTCAGTCCCCTGAACAGCCCACAAAATCTCTTTTCACCCCAAATGGACTTGAAACATGTTGGAAATTATGGCAGACACCAGGACCTGCCCATGCCACTGCAGCACACACCACTACCTTTTCACCCCAAATGGACTTGAAACATGTAAATTATGGCAGACACCAGGACCTGCCCATGCCACTGCAGCACACACCACTACTTCAGGGTCACCAGCTCAGAGCTCTAACATGCCCATGTAGCAAACTGAGACTCCCTGACAATCTGGGCTAGAGAAAAGAACCATCTATCAGATAGGAAACCAAGAAAGTTGATCTTGAAGCTTCCCTTAACTCTGTTTTCAATTTTCCCACATCCCTATGGGTTCCAAGAGGTCAAAAGCATGCTATGACAGACAAAGTTCTCTTCCCCCATTGGTGAGGTGCCTGATGGCAGACACACCAGGGGTGGTTCTTTCTCACCAGTGTGTCTGCCTATCCTACTGCTCCTAGCATCCCTAGATGAAGAGTCTGGATGCCATCACAAAGGGATATGGAAATGAGATGTGTGTACAATTGCTCACTTCTCTGTCTGGCCTCAGATTCTGACCTTATATCTGGAGGCAGTCACTTGTCCTCCAGGACCAGTCACAGCTTCTATCATGAAGGCTCTGCTGGACGTCTTCCTGGAGGAAATTAATGATGCTACGCAGAACACCGTGGCAGGTTCGTCTTTATCACAGGGCCGCTCCCCCTTCTCCCTCTACTGCAGTTATTTATAGCCATGCCCTCTCTCCCCTATTAGGATATAACATCTCATAACTATGGTCCTTGCAAGCCTTATGAAAGGCAGGGGCAAGGGGTTTTTCCTTCTGTAAACAGAGAATTTGGTGAGATGAGTGCATGAATGGGTTTTGGTGGCAACAGCTTTCATTCAAAATTAGTTCACACACTCAGCAAGCATGGGCAGATGTCTGATGAGTTGGATTCTTAAGGAGATTAAGATGAATAAGAATTGGACAATCTTTTTCCTCCAGAGTTCATAATCTAATAGTGGAGGTTGTCACTTCCTCTGGCCATCAACGTCCACTTACAGGTAGATTTGGAGTCAGGACATTTCTGATCACTAAAACAGAGTACATACTGTGGGGTAAGGGCAGCAAATCCTAGCTGGTGCTGCTTGGATTTGTAAGCTCAAACATATGTGAGAGTATGCTGGCCAAGTCAAAGGTCTTTAGAGGTATGTAGAGACAACACCCCCAGGAAGTGTCACTGCCTTCACAATGGAGGGTTTGGCCAGGAAAGAATATAGATTGCAAGGAAGAGCAGATAGTATACTGTTTGCTATCATGAACATGAACACAGAGGGCACAGCCAGTCCAGTCAGACCTGAATCCCAACTTAGCTATTTGCTCTAGGGGTCAGCTGGGTCCACCGAGTCTCAGTTGTGAAATGGGCATAACAATTGTGGTAAAAGTATGTGTGGTTAAATGAGCCAGAACAGTGGGTCATTTTATTATTTTGTCTTCTAGGACAGGGATGGGACAATCTCACCCATAATGAGTAAGGTCAGTCTTTCCTTGGAGAGGCACAAGGCAACATTCCAACCACAGCCACAATGGCCATACTCCCCTGAGGATGCTGAACACCAGCCCAGGGATTAAATGAATTCCCAGACTCCTCCCATCTCAACAGATTCCCCATTCCCTTGAGTGTAATAATCACAACTAGACATGGGGTGCAATGATCCTGGTCCTGACTCCCCATCTTGGCTCAGAGAAAAAATAGACACACCTGTGTACCCCAAGGAGACTTCAGCATGAATGCTCATCCTTCCCCCATGTCCAAAATTTCTCCAGAAAGGAGCAAGTCTGCTTGTACTTAGCATGAATTTTGACTCTTATCTTCCCACCTAAGCTTGCAAGAGCTTTTGGTCTCGGTTCGCAAACTGTTTTTCTGCTAATCCCATCATTTCTAGAAAATGCAAACCTTTTTTATGTCATTTGTCTGCTTGACTCACTGTGTATGGTAAGGAAATAAAGATGGAAACAAATCTAGATTGGTTTTTTCCCACTGTCAGGATATTGGTTAACATGAGTCGGGTGCTACTAAGTCTTTTTCAAGGCTCTGGGCAAAGTTAATTCTCAGCCACTGTAGTGAGTGTCCCTTGTTACAGCACTAGACAGCCTGAGATAAAACTCAAAATGCACAAATGCTCTGAGCCAACAATGTCAGGTTTCTGAGGTTGTCCAGAAGAACTTTCTTAGAAGAATGCCAAGGACAATTATTGTTTTGTTTGAAATGGAAGGAAAAAAAAAAACCCGAGAAACAACCTAAATATAAAGGTCCACCAATGAAGCAACGGCTACAGTGGTCTATCTTTGTTCTAGGATCCTAAGCAGCATTAGAAATAAGAGCTGTGGGGGCTGGAGAGATGGGTCAACAGTTGAGAGCACTGAGTGCTCCTGCAGAAGATCTAGGTTCCAATCCCAGCACCCACATAGCAACTAACAACCATTCTTAATTCCAGTTCCAGGGGATCCAACACCCTCTCCTGACCTCCAGGGGCATTGTATGATACCAGTGCACTTACACGTATGCAGGCAATACACTCATACCCATAAAATGAAAATAATAAAATCTAAAACAAATAGGAGCTGTGCCTTTGTGAAGGGTAGATGCTTTGAAACCATGTGGGCACTGAATTATGCTTATGCTCTCCCAACATTGCTAAGCTTACAGGTTGAAGTTTTCACCGGAGTGCCTCTGTTTGTGACTGTATTTAGAGATGGAGTCTTTAGGGCCATGAAGGTAAAATGAGGTCAATAGAGTGGGCTCTGATTCAATATGACTGATGTCCTCACAAGAAGAGATTAGGTCACAGACACAGAGAAGGAAGATCACATAAGGACACAAGGAGAAGATAGCCATCTGCATGTCAGGAAGAGAGGCTTCGAAGATGCCAACTATTCCAATATATTGACTGTAGGCTTATCACTTCCAGAACAGTGAAAACAATTTCCAGATGTTCAGGTCACCCAGTCTGTGGTATTTTATTAGAGTAGTCCTAGCTAATGAAACCTCATTATTAGATGTTAGAAAACAACTGAGCATGTGCAGATGCATATCATCTATGAAAAATGAGTGGAAGGGCACACCTCATCTGATAACAATGGTCACATATGGAAGGAAGCTGGAGATGGTATTGGGAATGGGGAGCAAAGTGGACTTAGCCATAAAAATAACAGCATCGACTGCTCTTGCAGAGGAACCAAGTTCAGTTCCCAGTCCCCACATGGCAGCTAACAACCATCTGTAACTCTAGTTCCAGGGGATTCAACATCTTCTTCTGGCTTCCATGGGTATTGCATGCATGGATGCACTTACAGACATGCAGGCAAAACACTCATACACATAAAAATAAAAATAAATAAATATTTGTATTATTTGTATAGCAAATTTAAAAGCCTCCCTTGGGTTGGGGCTGCAGTCAGGTGGTGGGTTGCATGACTAGCATGAACAAAGTTCTGATTTCCTCCCCAGGACTGCCAGAAAAGAGGGGGGTGGGGTGGGCAGTGAGGAAAGGAAGGAAGAGGGAGGGAAAGAAAGTAAAAAAGAGAGAGAGAAACAAAAGCAACCCTCCTGAACATCCACACAGCACACTTTGTCACTTGGGTTCAACTACCCTGGAGCTGTACTCCATGTCCACACCCCTCCTCCACACTTGCACATCTCCTTGTCACACCAAACCACCTGTGCTTGGAAGGCCTCCATTCCTCTGTCTATCCCCCTGCTTTGAATGCCAGTTTCCCTTTTAACACCAGAGTTGCTGATCTTATTCCTTCAGAGACCAGCTCAAACACCAGCTACTTTATAAGCATGTTCAAAAAGGTCTTACTTGATAGACTTTCTATTGGAGAGTCAAGTGTCTCTGTTCTTGCTATAGGTCATATTTGAATTGAAGCCAGTGGTGCCTAATGGTGCTACATTCAAGTAAGAGATATGCTCATTTGGTTCCAAATGGATGAATGATAGGAATGTTCTCGACTAGGCTTCTTAGCCATCAGTGTATCTCAAAGGCCTTCTATTCTATGAGTCTTGACAAACTCCTGAGAGGCTGGGGCTGCCTACAATCAGGACATGAACAAGTCCTTCCCTTAAACTAGTGTAAAGGCAACTATATTTCTGGGTCAGCCAAACTCCATTTGTAATAAATTCTAGTGAAATCATCTGAGAATAGATTGTATTTTATTCAATGCTGTGTCCGTTAAGTCTTCAGTTACATAATCCATAATAGGTCTCTTTCAAAACCCCCCAGGGCCCTCTGGCAGGCCTTACCTTTTCATTGGCTTGGGGGAGCACTCCCTCTCTAGGTTGGAGCATGTGTGTTTCACATGCATGGCATTATAGGAGGTGTGAGTGTAGTCATTTTCATCGCTGTAGTCAGGACCGAGTAATGTCCGTGCCCATGTTCCCATGTCATAAGGAGGAAGGGTTCCTCCAAATTCAGAGGGCAAGAACTCAGGGTGTATTAGCTGGTGAAGGCTGTTTAAATTGTTTCCATGTAGGAAAATCTGGAAAGAAAAAAAAATTAACCATAAAAAAATTGAAACATGACCAAGTGTTTAATCTAATACATAATTTAGCAATGACAAATTGGATACGCTACTGGTGATCATGGTGTTTAAAGAGGCACTCATTTTGTGCCTGTGGCTTAGTCATCATAAAATGCTAATTTATTGCTCGGAAAGTGGGCTGAATTAATAGTTGCTAAGAAATGAAGTTTAAGAACAGATTGGGCATTTTTGGCCACTACTCAAATTTGCACATACAGTCGTCTCCTAACTATTCCTACCAAGGCTGAGGCAGTAATACCAACCTCATCAAACCTGCTCATGCCTTGTGGGGCTCCCCAGACTATGTGCTGCTCCTAGTCGAGCACTCTGGACCGCAGAACCTCTCCAGTTCTGCCCATCCTCTCAGCTCTGACCAAGTTACAGCTTCTCCCTGAATCAGTGCCAGGACTTTTACCCACTCTGCTTTTCCCCCTGAATCAGTCCAGGGACCCCTGCCCATTCTGTTTCTCCATGCCTCCCTGCCATGAGCTCCTCAGCATCTGCTGACTTCTAGTTCTTTTCCAGTGTGTTCATTTGGGTCTTGGGGAGAAAATACCTGGAGAAATGGATGATATCTTACTCTGTTAACAGAGCCTGTGGCTCCAAAGATGGTGTCTGTGTATACTAGTTGCATCAGTTCCTACTGTGGCCTGTGAATGTATTGTGAGATGTTTTTGTCTGAATAAAGCACTAATATCCAAAGAACAAGTTTACATGTTCTGAGCCTATAGTAGTAAATGACCCAAATGGTCAAATAAGGGAGAAGAAAAAAAGCTTCAAATTTCAATTGTTTTATTTAAAGCTACAAAAAATGACATAAGTACATAACTGTCTTTGACTACAGTTTAAAAGTTGACCTGAATAGTTGATTTAAAGTTCATCCACGATGTTGTTGATTCCTATACTTTATCACATTGCAGGTATGAAAGGATTACAGGTACTACATAAGTTCCACAAATTAATTACATACAACTAAGCTGCACTCAAAATAAGACTTTCAATTATGTTCTTGGACATATGTACCACATATGACCATGATAAAATTTAAATGTGATCTTAAAAACACCTTCAAAGGGGACCTCAGTAACAAACATCTTATTTTGTTATATTGAGCTCAGTTTAGCCTGTCTTATAAAAAAGGTATCGCACAAAGATAAAACGGAAAGGAAGTTAAGTGCTAAGCTCTTCAGAACATTACAGCACTTCAGAAAACAATGAACATTTTCTGGCACTGAAGTTAAATGTGATTGGAAAGTTAAACAAAGAGTTATTTGTTGTGAAGAAATTCAATTATTCTGACTTTTACAGAACTCCATAGAGGATGCTGTAGTATTTGGAGCAAACTAAAGTCCTCTCCCTGTTGTTTACAGTAAACACTTGTAACCACACACCCAAACATCCAGTTCTTAAAGTACAAGGAGTGCTGCTGAGGATGGCTCCTTTCCAGGATTGCTACTGATCTTGTAGAGAAGAGGAGCATACAGATAGCAGGCTGGACCCTGCACCAGTCACACTGTCCTGGGTCTAGAGCTCCAGAAACCTCCTGCTCTGGGTCAGCAGTCAGCATCCACTGTGAGAGGAATCACCACTGTCCCCATCATGGGTAGAAGACAGGGGCACTGAGAGGCTTAAAGGTAATTGCAAACAGTGTAGGGCACCTCGGTTCTTAGCATTGCCCTGAGCTCTAAGTAGACTACAAAATGTCTCAGAAGGTCTCTGCCTCTTCCTGGTATTGGTGAGGTCTAGCTCTAAGTTTTGTACTTGTTTGGAGACTGGGGATTATCTTTCTTATCATAGTCTACTGTAATATTCCCTAAAGACTAGAAACATTCAAGGTCTAGGAATTAGGATCCTTGGCGGGGGGGGGAGGTTGTGTGCCTGTGCATCTGTGTGTCTGTGTGTGTGTCAGTATATATAGCTATCTGTCTGTGTCTGTGTATACCTTCATATCATCAGTCCTATGAATACTCAGCGCTCTCCCCCAGTGTCATGTCTCCTGGATCTAGGGGTACATGCAAGGTTGTTAAAAAAAAAAATGACCCTGGCCATGTTCTCTTGGGGAGTGGTGTTCTTGACCTAGAAAGTGACTAAAATCAGAAGGTCTAAAAGGGCACACTGTAGCATTACTCACAATAGCCATGATATGGAAACCCCAAGTGCCTGCTAATAGGTAAGAAGACGATAGGAAACGTGACAGAAACTGGGAAGTTGGGCATGGTAGTACTCAGTGACTCAGGAGACACCCTGCTCCAAAAAGTTGGAAGCTAGTGTGAGCTCAGTGGGGGGGTATTTGTCTAGCATGTCTGAAGCGCTAGGTTCAATCACTAGTATTAGAAACAAAGAGACACCCTGCTCCAAAAAGTTGGAAGCTAGTGTGAGCTCAGTGGGGGGGATTTGTCTAGCATGTCTGAAGCGCTAGGTTCAATCACTAGTATTAGAAACAACCAAACAAAAGTGCTATAAAAAAACATAAGGAAATCTGTTACTTTGTAAGCTAACTAAAAATCAAAATAGATAGGACCTGAGCTTTCACTTTTATGTGGAATCTAAACACAGTTGGGCTCAGGTGCAGAGAGTGAAATGGTGGTTGCCAGCAGCTCAGGGAGGAGGAAGACGACGGTGAAGGTGTGTGAAGGCTCAGCTCTGCAGTATGGATGAATTCTGAGATCTAGTGTACCACCTAGTGACTTTCTCACTGAAACTTCATTGCATCCTTGACATTGTCTAACAGGCTTCATCTTAGGTGATTTTATCACAAGAAAAGAAAAGAAAGGAAAAGGTCCTAACTACATGAAATAACAGGTAATGGATGTCTTAGATGGATCATGATGATCATGCTGCAATGTATTCGTATAGTAAATCTTTGTATTGTGTATCTTAAACACACACGTTTACTTGTGAAATATGTCTTAGTGAAGCTAGGGAAAAAGAAGGAAAAGGTAAAAAGAACAGGTCATCCAGTGTCTGGTACATGCATGGCATTATGCTACATGCTTTCATGCACGGTCTCATTAAATCGCCCCAACAAATGTGTGATGTAAGAGTCAGATTCCCCACTTAATCAATGAGGAAACTGAATTTCAGAGTGGTTATGCTTTCTTGCTATTTGGCTGATCAGAATGCCATTCCAGCCCTGCTCTCATGAAAGAGGCTGGCTTCCCAAATGTTGACCGATGTCATTAAGATCTCAAGCTTTCTTTATAAGATTATTATATCCAATAAATAATGCTTTCCCGCTCTTATGGGTGATGCAGCTGGCCGTTATCACCCAGGAGCCATGAGAGAAAAAATATAATCATTTCACAGTACTAACACATCTAAAGGACTAAATGCTACCAATGGCACACTTCACAAACAGGAAGTAGTAACTGGGTAAATTCCTGTCATCCCCACACTCCAGACTGAGGCAGGAGGATTAAGAATATTTGAGGTTAGCCTGGGCTACAAAGAAAGACCCTGTTCTTTCCCCAAACCAACCAGCAAACAAATCCTACAAAAACACCAAAGAGGAGTAGGAAGTGGCTTCAAGCACTTATGTCCCATAAGCAGTGGCAATAAAATGGACGGCTGTTATTAGCATGCCTTCAAAGTTTCTTTTGGTCACTGTTCTGAAAATAAGCTTTTCTACTGAATTATTGATTCAATACACATCCTTTGAAAACCGCTGAGGCTCAGATGCCCAGGGGTTGCAAAACCATAGTGAAAGCTAGTGTGTGCGCCTGCGTGCGTGCCTGTGTGTGCGTGTGTGTGTGTGTGTGTGTGTGTGTGTGTGTGTGTGTGTGCGTGTGTGTGTGTAGAGGAACGCACACACAGGAGAGCACTGTAACTGTCCATGTACCGCCCCCCAACCCCCACCTTTGGAAGTTACAAAACACATTTGTTTTCATTACCCGTTTCCTGGTCTTATCTTTAAGGAATGGCTTGATGAGCGTATACAGGGCATGAATGTACCAGGGCTGGTTGACGAAATGGACTCCTCCAAATCGGGCAGGAAAGCTGTCCTGTGAAGGAAAGAGAGGGGAGAGCACATCAGTTACCGACACTCCAGGTTGCCGGGCAAGGATCAGCACAGTAACCCAGAAGATAGCCTGGTTCTCTCTGGCAGAAGCTCCAGCTTCGGGGTAGAGAAAGGATGCAAACACCCTCAGCTCCCTGCCTGCTACCTTCTCCTGCGTTCTTCCCTTCCTCCTCCTCTTTTGACTCCACAGCCTTAATATTGTGCATAGGTGTCAGGCCAGTCTTTCCAAACAGCAATGACAGAAGCATCTATGTGACATCGGAGCATGTGTAACCTGGATCATGATGGGTCAGAATTTTTCATGCTACTGGCTAAGCAAAGCTTCGGTTGCTGAAGGCTTTGAGGATAGATCTTTCTCTACTCTCAGCCTGGCTCTCTTCTTCTCTCCTTGAGACTGTATTATCTTGACAGTAGCCCAGAACTTGAACTTTCTGGGTGAATGAGCAAGTTATACATCCCAAGGGATTTTAGAAACTGAGGCCCACTGAACTGACCCAAGTCTAATGGGGTGCACTGTTAGTCACTTTTCCAGCACTATATGCCCACTCCAGCCTGGAAGCAAACAGTAGATCCCAGGGAAAAGATAACGTTGGTTGACAGGCTGGTTGACCATACTAACTGGGCTGTGTGAACAGCCTTTGCTGCAGATCAGCACTGTTTGTAAATATCAGGCCATAAAAGCATTTTAAAAAATGGCTCCAAGATTGGAATTCAGATTCAATCAAGAACTTGTGATTTACAAGCTGGGAATCTGTTCTGAGTATTATTTAAAGAACCACAGGACAACGGAGAGACCTTGGCTGTGAAGTCCAGTCCCAAAAAATCAAGTCCTGCAATCCTCATGGGTGGTTTCAGAAGATTAGGTTTGTCCTGGCTAATGGAATTTAAAAAGAAGGAACATCTAAATGCCATTTGAAAGGCCAAGCTCCACTGTCAATCAGGTTCATTGCAACAAGCATCTTTGTAAAGTGTTACCAGGTAAGCAGAATGCAGAGTAAGCTAAGGGATCAGGCAGAGAGTTGTTCCCTGTGGGGTACAAAATGCCTTGCCTGGCTCTTCTTCAGTATAATAACAAAGAAAGAGGGTTAGTAACTTTTCCAGAATTCTGTGAATCTACAGGATCCCTAGGTATCTTCCACAAGGAAACCTAGTTTCAGGGAAAGCATATGGAACTAAGCTTAAGAGTTGCTACTTGAAAGTCTTTAACTTTTCCTCTATCTAGACATTTTACAAAGTAGAAAATGATGAGATATTTTGAAGGCTAAACTAAACATTTTAGTAAAAGATTCATGCTTTTCAGAGTATGCCTATTCTCATTTTATTTATCTTGATTTTGAAAACCAGAGTTAAACATTTTTATACTAATTTGGGTATTTGTCCTTGCTATGGAAGAATGCTTTTCAAACATGACATGGCTGTTGCCCTCTTGAACTCTCAGCAACTGTGATTACCAAATGAAAAGCCCCCATCTGCAACCCCCAAAACCCCTCCCCCCAACAAGATTGGGCTCATTAGCATTCTGTCATGGAAACAGGGACACAGTATTCTACAAGAAGGAGGTCTTGCCACTCTCAGCTGCCCATGCTCCTGTGAGTAAATCCCTCATCCACATTCTTGTAGGTAACCTAGTTAAATCTGCTGATTCAACAAGCTAGACTTGAGTAGAACTATTTCTTTTGTCTGTTTTGGGTACCCAACCTGGGGTAAATAAATGTTTGTCTCCCAAGTAAAAGTTCATGCAACAGTGATGATTTTTTATATTTGAAATGTGAATAAGGTTTGGATTTCTTTTAAAATTTTTAGGTTTTGAAGTTTTTACCTGAGGTGCTAAGGATTGAGTACGGGGCCTTGCTCCTCTAGGTAAGCATTCTGCCAGCAAGCTACATCCCTAGCCCAATGTTGTCTTTTAGGTCAAGACTTAACAACACATCAGTTCCTTAAAAATAAGAAGCCACCCCTGAAGCCTTTCCTTTGGAATAAGAGGTACATACAAGCTTCACTCTTTTTGATTCCATTAAACTCATTCAGAAATATAACTCATTACCTCACAAAAATAAATGTGGGTTCTGAGAGGCGACAGAAAAAGAGGAGAAATAAAGCATTTATTTATAAAACCCAGGCTTTACTATCATTTTTACTGAAACACATAAAAAAAGGATTTTTTTTTTTTATTTCTACTGGTAGCCTTTCTATATTTCTAGGTTGGTAAAGTAGAAGGAAACTCTAAAATATACTTAACAGACAGCAGGGAAAATCACAGATAATATTAACCTTTTGAAAAATACCTAGAGACACTTAGTTTTAGTCTATGAAAACGTCATTCATCAAAAACATCAAACACTGTCATCTCTTTGCACCAGGGGAGGTTGAAAGGAAACATTACATTAGAGAAACTGGAAGTGTTCCCTAGTTTGGCCTGAGCTCCTGAACCTGCCAGAGAGAAGGTGTGGGCTTTTAGTGCCCTCATAGGAGTCAGCCTGTAAATACATGCAAACAAAAACACTTAAACCTGAGCTTGGGATTCTGGGCTTGGGTATGAATAGAAACAGGATTGTCTTTCTTCAGGTTCCTCATCTGAAGCTAAGATGAAACATCTTGGTAAAAGCCTCTGACTGGTACAAAATGAGCTTCTTCGATGAGTGGTGACTGGGATATTTGTCTGTAAATATAAGGATACATATTTTGCACTTAGTAAGAAATCACATTAGCCTAGGAATGTGACAGTCTTGGGTTTGCTTTAAGATCTATGTGTATTTGGCTATGTTTACAGTACCACAGTTGATTTTCCTCCCATTGAGTGGGCTTTTAGTCCAATTAGATAGCTGTTGATTGCTCCCAAGATAAAAGTGCCACTACTGCACCAATGTTGCATGCTGTGCTAGCCATTGATGTAGTTATTTGGTCTTGAAGCTGGTGTTGGACAATTTATTGATGCTATTACCAAGTGTCTGGTCAACTGGTCACACACAGACATTGTCTATTGATTGTCCAGGCCTAAGTGACACATCTACAATGTAACGTCTACACCTAAGGCTCATGGAACATAGAACAGGGGTAAAGAAGAAGACACTGATGAATCACAGCGTTCTCATTAGTGAAGCTCTCTCATGCAGCAGAGGGCCAGGAACACAAAAGGTCACAAATGACAAAGTGTAGAGATCAAGAGTCTACTGAATGCTGGTCCTTGGACAGGACTCCTTTATTAAACTTCACACACCCAGGCCTCAGGGACCATTGCAGAGGAGGGGACAGAAAGATTGTAGGAGCCAGGGAGGAGGAGCATATGGATACAGAGACCTATAAGCTCTTGGGAACCTCTCATATGATTCTATGGCAATGGTGTCAGCATACACAGTCCCATGCAAACTCAGGCAGACAAAAAACCAGCATAGAACTGGGAAAATGAACAGCAAACCCCAATCTTATCTGAAGGAATGTTGGCAACTGATTGCTGCTAGATGAGAAAGAGCTGATCTTCCTAAAACAAGGATCTCTAGATACGCTGACTAGACTTCAGTGGATGGACTTGCACTGGGGAACATCTGGGAACATTGACTTGACACAGTGGGCCTTAACACAGATGACAGAGTAAACGGGCTCCAGTCAGGAGCATATAGAAGGGTGCTGGTGGGGACATGGGTAATAAGATGATTAAGATTGTTTGAGGTGTTCTGTATGAAATACACAAATAACTACAATTTATTTTGTGTATGTATGAACGCTGCATGTGTGAAGGTCAGAGGACGACTTGCGGGAGTTCTATGTGGGTTCTGGGCATTGAACTTAGGTTGTTAGGCTTGGCCAGGTGTTTTTACCCATGGAATCATCTCAAAGATCCTTCTTTTTCTAAAGACACACACACACACATATGTACACACACGTGTGTGTGTATTATGTGTACCTCCATGTGTTTTATGTGCACCATGTGTGTGTTCAGGTGCCCTACTGAGAACATAGGTGTTAAATCCCTTGGAACTGGAGTTGTAGGCAGTTACAGGAGTTGTAAGCCTCCTGATATGGGTACTGGGAACTGAACCCTGGTCCTCTGGAAGAGCAGAGTAAGTGCTCTTAACCACCGAGCAATCTCTCCTGCGCCATGTTCCAAGTATGGTTATTCTTAATGAACCTGGTTATGTATCAGTTGTGCATGTCTGCGTGCGTGCACGCATGCATGCATGTGTACACGTGTGTGTGTGTGTGCGCACGCGTGTGTGTGTTTCTCAAAGAGAAAGTATTAAAACTACAAAATCCATCTGTTACAGTTTAACTCTTGAATGCCCTCAACCCATAGTCTCATGTTTTGAGGTCTTGGTTCCCAGACTGTGAAAGTATTTTGGGAGGTTGTGCAACTGTGAGCAGGGTACTAGGAGTGGACCTTTGAAGGTTACAGACCAGCACTAGCTCTGGTTTGGTCTCTGCTTCCTGATCTGCCCTGCTCGGCCTCTGCTAGCCAAGGGACTTCAGCCTCCAAGTCTTCACACCGTGACCGACTGTGCTCTCTGAAAATGTAAGTAAAATGAACACTTCCTGTGGCATGTGTTCTGTCCCAGAACAACAATGGTGAGAAAGTGATGAATACACCAGCCTCCTCCATCAGCACCCACCATCGCTGGCCACTCTTGGATGACCACGAAGCCTACTGCAGGTAAAGGGCAACTTATCACTCAAGTCTCTCCCAGGATCCTAAGAGGGGGGCACCACCTTCATAGAGGTTCGTGTCTTAGGGGTTAGAACAGATATATCTCCAAATGGTTGACTTTGATCCAATGATAGTATTCACTTTTTAGAGTCTGAGGAACTAAAGAGTATGTACCAAATCACAGTCAAGCTTTGAGACAACTGCATTAATTCTGAAAATTTTATACATTTATCAATATGAACATGACCACTCCAATTATTATATATATATTTTCTTCTTGAGACAGGGTCTCCCTGTAGCCCCAGCTGGCCTGGAACTTGATTTGTAGACCAGGCTGGCCTTCA